TCATTGCTGTGGATCTGAGGTGCCTGCTGGGGACGGTGTTTGAAGGGTTTGGCGGGTTTAGGAGGGTTTGGAGCGTTTGGAGAGTTTTGGAGGGTTTGCGGGCTGGCAAACGGCAGCTTTGAAAGCCTAAGAAAGCCATTGCTGTGGCCTGGCCCTGGGGTGCCTGTTGGGGAAGTGGCCTTGGCCCTAGGGTGCATGTTGTGGAAGGTGTTTGGAATTTTGGAAGTTTGGATCCTTTGCAGGCTGGCAAACTGCAGCTTTGAGGCCCATAGAAAGTCATTGCTGTGGCCCTGGCCTCTGTTAAGGCAGCTTTGAAAGCATCAAGAAAGTCATTGCTGTGGATCTGAAGTCATTGCTGTGGATCTGAGGTGCCTGCTGGGGACGGTGTTTGTTGGGGAAGGTGTTTGGAATTTTGGAAGTTTGGAGGTGCCTGCTGGGGACGGTGTTTGGAGGGTTTGGCGGGTTTAGGAGGGTTTGGAGCATTTGGAGGGTTTGGAGAGTTTTGGAGAGTTGTGGAGGGTTTGCGGGCTGGCAAACGGCAGCTTTGAAAGCCTAAGAAAGCCATTGCTGTGGCCTGGCCCTGGGGTGCCTGTTGGGGAAGTTGCCTTGGCCCTAGGGTGCATGTTGGGGGAGGTGTTTGGAATTTTGGAAGTTTGGATCCTTTGCAGGCTGGCAAACGGCAGCTTTGAAAGCTCATAGAAAGTCATTGATGGGATATGAGGTGCTGCTGGGGACGTGTTTGTTTGAAAGTGTTCTGGGGTTTGGAGGGTTGGGGAGCGTTTGGAGAGTTTTGCGGAGAGTTTTGGAGGGTTTGCGGGGCTGGGCCATAACGGCAGCTTTGAAGCCTAAGAAAAGCCATGATGTGGCCTGGCCTGGGGGGCCCGTTGGTGAGTGTGGCCTTGGCCCTAGGTTGCATGTTTGTGTAGGTGTTTGGAATTTTGGATAGTTTGGATCATTTCGCGAGGCTGCTGCAAACGGGCAGCTTTGAAAGCATCAAGAAAGTCATTGCTGTGGATCTGAGGTGCCTGCTGGGGACGGTGTTTGGAGGGTTTGGCGGGTTTTGGAGGGTTTGGAGCGTTTGGAGGGTTTGGAGGGTTTGGAGAGTTTTGGAGAGTTTTGGAGGGTTTGCGGGCTGGCAAACGGCAGCTTTGAAAGCCTAAGAAAGCCATTGCTGTGGCCTGGCCCTGGGGTGCCTGTTGGGGAAGTGGCCTTGGCCCTAGGGTGCATGTTGGGGAAGGTGTTTGGAATTTTGGAAGTTTGGATCCTTCGCAGGCTGGCAAACTGCAGCTTTGAGGCCCATAGAAAGTCATTGCTGTGGATCTGAGGTGCCTGCTGGGGACGGTGTTTGGAGGGTTTGGCGGGTTTTGGAGGGTTTGGAGCGTTTGGAGGGTTTGGAGGGTTTGGAGAGTTTTGGAGAGTTTTGGAGAGTTTTGGAGGGTTTGCGGGCTGGCAAACGGCAGCTTTGAAAGCCTAAGAAAGCCATTGCTGTGGCCTGGCCCTGGGGTGCCTGTTGGGGAAGTGGCCTTGGCCCTAGGGTGCATGTTGGGGAAGGTGTTTGGAATTTTGGAAGTTTGGATCCTTTGCAGGCTGGCAAACGGCAGCTTTGAGGGCCATAGAAAGTCATTGCTGTGGATCTGAGGTGCCTGCTGGGGACGGTGTTTGGAGGGTTTGGCGGGTTTAGGAGGGTTTGGAGCGTTTGGAGGGTTTGGAGAGTTTTGGAGAGTTTTGGAGGGTTTGCGGGCTGGCAAACGGCAGCTTTGAAAGCCTAAGAAAGCCATTGCTGTGGCCTGGCCCTGGGGTGCCTGTTGGGGAAGTTGCCTTGGCCCTAGGGTGCATGTTGGGGAAGGTGTTTGGAATTTTGGAAGTTTGGATCTTTTGCAGGCTGGCAAACGGCAGCTTTGAGGCCCATAGAAAGTCATTGCTGTGGATCTGAGGTGCCTGCTGGGGACGGTGTTTGGAGGGTTTGGCAGGTTTTGGAGGGTTTGGAGCGTTTGGAGGGTTTGGAGGGCTTGGAGAGTTTTGGAGGGTTTGCGGGCTGGCAAACGGCAGCTTTGAAAGCCTAGGAAAGCCAGCTTTGAAAGCCCATAGAAAGCCATTGCTGTGGCCTGGCCCTGGGGTGCCTGTTGGGGAAGTGGCCTTGGCCCTAGGGTGCATGTTAGGGAAGGTGTTTGGAATTTTGGAAGTTTGGATCCTTTGCAGGCTGGCTAACTGCAGCTTTGAGGCCCATAGAAAGTCATTGCTGTGGCCCTGGCCCCCTGTTAAGGCAGCTTTGAAAGCATCAAGAAAGTCATTGCTGTGGATCTGAGGTGCCTGCTGGGGACGTTGTTTGGAGGGTTTGGCGGGTTTAGGAGGGTTTGGAGCGTTTGGAGGGTTTGCGGGCTGGCAAACGGCAGCTTTGAAAGCCTAAGAAAGCCATTGCTGTGGCCTGGCCCTGGGGTGCCTGTTGGGGAAGTTGCCTTGGCCCTAGGATCCTTTGCAGGCTGGCAAACTGCAGCTTTGAGGCCCATAGAAAGTCATTGCTGTGTCCCTGGCCCCCTGTTAAGGCAGCTTTGAAAGCATCAAGAAAGTCATTGCTGTGGATCTGAGGTGCCTGCTGGGGACGGTGTTTGGAGGGTTTGGCGGGTTTAGGGGGGTTTGGAGCGTTTGGAGGGTTTGGAGGGTTTGGAGAGTTTTGGAGAGTTTTGGAGGGTTTGCGGGCTGGCAAACGGCAGCTTTGAAAGCCTAAGAAAGCCATTGCTGTGGCCTGGCCCTGGGGTGCCTGTTGGGGAAGTTGCCTTGGCCCTAGGGTGCATGTTGGGGGAGGTGTTTGGAATTTTGGAAGTTTGGATCCTTTGCAGGCTGGCAAACGGCAGCTTTGAGGCCCATAGAAAGTCATTGCTGTGGATCTGAGGTGCCTGCCGGGGACGGTGTTTGAAGGGTTTGGCGGGTTTTGGAGGGTTTGGAGCGTTTGGAGAGTTTTGGAGGGTTTGCGGGCTGGCAAACGGCAGCTTTGAAAGCCTAAGAAAGCCATTGCTGTGGCCTGGCCCTGGGGTGCCTGTTGGGGAAGTTGCCTTGGCCCTAGGGTGCATGTTGGGAAGGTGTTTGGAATTTTGGAAGTTTGGATCCTTTGCAGGCTGGCAAACGGCAGCTTTGAGGCCCATAGAAAGTCATTGCTGTGGATCTGAGGTGCCTGCTGGGGACGGTGTTTGGAGGGTTTGGCGGGTTTAGGAGGGTTTGGAGCGTTTGGAGGGTTTGGAGAGGAGAGTTTTGGAGGGTTTGCGGGCTGGCAAACGGCAGCTTTGAAAGCCTAAGAAAGCCAGCTTTGAAAGCCCATAGAAAGCCATTGCTGTGGCCTGGCCCTGGGGTGCCTGTTGGGGAAGTGGCCTTGGCCCTAGGGTGCATGTTGGGGAAGGTGTTTGGAATTTTGGAAGTTTGGATCCTTTGCAGGCTGGCAAACTGCAGCTTTGAGGCCCATAGAAAGTCATTGCTGTGGCCCTGGCCTCTGTTAAGGCAGCTTTGAAAGCATCAAGAAAGTCATTGCTGTGGATCTGAGGTGCCTGCTGGGGACGGTGTTTGGAGGGTTTGGCGGGTTTGGAATTTTGTTTTGGAAAGTTTGGAGCCTTTGCGGGCTAGCAAACGGCAGCTTTGAAATTCATAAAAAGTCTCATTGCTGTGGCCCTGGCCCTGGGGGTTTGGAATTTTGGAGGCGTTTGGAACCTTTGCGGGCTGGCAAAAGGCAGCTTTGAAAGCTCATAGAAAGTCATTGCTGTGGCCCTGGCCCTGGGGTGCCTGTTGGGGAAGCTGCTTAAGGGTAAAGGTTTGGAGGGTTTGGAAGAGGACAAGGTCCACACCTGCAGCGGTCCCAGGCGCCGCCCCGGCCTTGGCGAAGGCCGGGGTCGGCGGATAATACTAGTTGTTTCCCATCAATTTTGATGGATATATCCTGATCAGCATTGATCAGCTATTTTTATTTGTGGGAAGGGTATCAAAGATTAGCCCTAGGGGGGAAAAAACAAAATTGTTTTCCTTGATGAAGTCCAGCAAATCATGCATGGTCCCGGACAATGGTCCCCCCTATTGTCCAGGAGGCACTGCAAGAGTTAGTCGATCACACCTTCAAGCGGGTCTTGACGCGTGACCGGGTGCCGGACGACGTCGGGGTCCCTATAGGGCACCCGGGCCTAAGGCAGCTGCTGTGCTCAGGTTGATTCATTGGATATGTTCAATTTATCTGTGGATATTGAGTGATATTGGACACTAATCCGCTGAACATAGCCCTATAGCAAAAAGAGCGCGCATCTGATATTATTTGATAGTAGTCGCATGGAAATATCCATCAAAAAGCACATGTCTAGATATGGTCATAGTTTTTTAATATTTTGTAATGGTTCTACAGCATGTTCTAGCCATATCAACCTCACTGGATCTCCGCCCTGGGGCCCTGAGGATGCTGAAGATGATGAAGAGATGCCCTTCCGCATCGAGGTGCCCAGACTCATTCCGATTGAAAAAGATACAGTAGGGACCATCCGGAAAAAAAATCCAAAAAAACATTAAAACACTGCATCTTAAAATGTCATGTCAATAAGACTGAATAAGTCAAATTCAAACCAGGCAGTTGTTTTTTTTGGATGCATTCTGCTGTTTTACATGCCGGTGCCCATGTTCGGTGATCATCTCGCTGGTAAGTCTTTAGTGTATCCAGATTATCACCTTTTTGCGATGACGATGACGGCCCAAACCGTGCCTCTTGGGCAGGTCGTGCAAGCCTTTCGAAGCGAGCACGCTTGCGCGAAATCCCAGTTGTTTGCCATGGGATGACACATGATCCAAAGGTCTATTAGTTGGCTAAGAAGAGCACATGTGTTGGACAAAAAAACCATGGAAACAGCATTTTCTGGATGGGGACAACCACCGGATTCCAGAGTCAATGTAGATTTTTTTGGCAAAAACCAATGTTTGTCGCGTAGGAGCTGGTTTTTCAGTAAGGTCCATGTCGTTAAGAGGTTGATGTTTGAACCTCAATTTTGGGGAGTTGATTTTTTTGTTTGGGGAGCATGCACCGTGGGCAAGATTCTGAAAAAGGATCAAAAATAAGTTCAGTGCATGTTGCTTCAACCCTTCCAAATTAGTGCGTTGCCCCTTCACATATTACGTACATATTACAGCAATCTCCTTTGCCCATACATACTACCCCCTAGAAACCTTAAGGTAATTTTCAGGTGTAATATTCTAATTAGTATTCAATGTCAGGATATTTTGGGATGGCATTCCAAGATGTCATGGGGGTGCACCCCACGGCCGCAGCGGCCAGGGCTGAATAATCAGCTCTGCGAAAGTATGGAGGCTGCAGAGGTGCACCGTATGCGTCGCGTCGCTGCGGAGAAAAGCTGGGTCGAAATTGGGCATTCGGAGGCTTATTTTGTTGGCTATGTACTCTATATATTATATCCCATAGGATCCATGGTGCTGCTATATATATATATATGGTAACATGGATCCCATCAATATACCCCCAATGTTAGTGTATATACCAGCACCATGGATCCTATGGGTATTATATTATATTATTATAATAAAGACATGGTTGGCGGAAGTTCTGAGAGATAGAAAAGGACATCACCATCAAAAGGATTGACAAAAGGTAGAGATTCGCTGTTGTCACTCTTGCTTTGGACCCCAGACATCTCAGCAGCCAGGGAGGTTTGCTGTTACCACATGACCAATCTCGGATGGTTTTTACCTATAGCAACCCCACAAAAGATTACAAAAGATAGAACAGTAAAATCCTGTATACTGAAATAGTCATTAATACTGTTTACTTGTCGATCTTTTTGGGGGTTCCGGGTCGCTATAGAGTTACCACGGTTTGGTCAAAAAGCCTGGCGCCTGGTCTGGTTTGGGCTTGGCAGGGCCCAACAAATATCACAAACCTGGAAACAGCAACCGAAGCTTGAATATATTACCCTATACACCAAGGTAGATGTGGAAAATACATGATGAAACTCATGGTGAAACCCATGGTGGACCCCATGGTGAAACCCTAGAAAAATGATCTACTTCTATGGTGGGTTGTCCACATGTCTATGTTAGTTTACAGGAGGGTATGTTTCATTTCTTGGGCCATAGTTTTGCTATAGGTTCCCAAGCAATCCTTTATCATCCATCGGATGCACTGCTCGCCTGGCTCGCCTTGAATGGCAAATAACCCAAGCATGACGCTTACCGTAAGTTGAAGCCGCTGATTTTTCTTAGATTATTCCTACTAAAAGACCGCAAAGGTAGCTTCCTCTTTTTTGTTATAGCCTGTGTAAAGTATGTTACTCTGCAAAACTTTTATTTGTTTTTTGTTGTGCCACTCCAACTAAACTACCATTTCAAAGTGCATCGGCCAACGCGACTCTTGTGACATGCTTCTGTGAACTCCGAACTCTAGATATCAATTTGTTGAGGCATGTCACAGAATGAGTTTGAAAGAAGTGTTTTGTCGTTTTCACATCGCCGAATCCGTTCACTGATGGTATATCCGAAGAGTTTTAAAAATCCCATGGTGACTTACCCTCTGGTAAACTAACAGTTTGCTATGAAAAAATACCATTGTTTATAGGTGAATCAACGAACTAAACGTGCCATGTTCATCCATTTTCAATAGCAACCTGTTAGTCATTACCAGAGGCTAATTTTCTCATTAACATCCGTTAAATGTATATTAACAGCATTAATTAACTATACATTATACATATATATATGTGTGTGTGTGTGTGTCATCCATGAATCAGAGGGTAGACCAGCATATTTTTGGCCCCGAACTCGCCCCGTTTCGAGTTTCCCTTCCGCAGTTCGCGGACTTTGAAGTGAAGACCTCGGGCATCCAAACCTTGTTGTCTGGACGCTTGGCGCCAGGTGCGGGCCTGGTCCTTCAAGACTTGTGGTTAATATGTGTTGATAATTAATAAAGATGATATGTGAAATTATGCGAATTGGAATGGATTATTGTAATTATTAGTTGAATTATGATATTGTTAATCATCATATTCACTTGTAGTTAAAGCCCTCATTATAGTGTTGGATAATTGTAATTATAATGGAATTATAACCTTCATGAACTGAGTGTTGGATAATACTATAATATTATTTGTAATATGTACATGTTGACGAATAAGCCCATACAGGCATCTATCAAAGCCCGTCTTAAATAAGTGATTGTTGGATTGTTGGTGGTTAATATGCCCTTAATATCCCTTAATGAGATTGAGAACGCGTTCATGCTGGGTAAACCTTGGCCGTGGGCGGCATATCATGTAGCCTTTCCATCTCTTAGTCGCCCATAGTCAATGAATTCGAACTGCAGTTGCTATCCTAGAAACAAGGTTTCTTCTACACGTTCCCTTCACAAAAGACCTACTGTAGTAGGCCATAAATCAAGAGCAACCGTCACCGAAGGGCTCTGGTTTGGTTTACCAGCACAGGTCAGCACTACATGTATCATGGAACCAATCCGTCTTCGGTGTCTGGACTGCAGCTTCTTCGAGCACTTCGAAATTTGTTCACCCCGCTCCTGGTGAATCCATGCACCATAGTTCATATCCCATATATAGGATCCATGGTGCTGGTATATATACTAACATTGGGGGTATATTGATGGTAAATGTTACCATATATAGCATACATGGATCCTATGGGTATTGAACTAGTGTTTTAAAGCATTTCTGAAAGATGACACCCAATCGATGAAAGATAATCAATATTTATCAATATTTGCTTGAGTGGGTTGCACCCACGAACCAGATCCACACATGCTTGTTTCCCACACATACGCCTCCGCTTTAGGCCTACCCACAAGAAAGGAATATACGTCAGCTATTTCACATTTGCAAACCGAAAATCGTTTGTTGTCACGGCTCATCCTAGCGCAGTCAAGGCTTTTCAACATTCAATTGTTGGGATGAAGAGGAAAATGATTGCGGTGAAGCACTTGATGGTTATTGATAGGGGGCAATAGATAAGTTAGAGATTCACAAGTTCATTTCCGTCGCAGCTGGCCATGGGCAATTGGGAAGCCAGGGGGTGGTTTTTTTTCGGATGCGCAAGCCATTCCAGTTGAGTGGTTCGGATTTCTGAGCAACCCAGTTAAAATCAGGGTGTGGATATGGTTACTGTTACCACTTCTGTCCCCATAGTTTGTTTGTCTTTTCTCTTGGTGTGAAGTGTCCTCAATATCTAGTTATCTAACTGTTGATACTGCGTGTTGATTGGTTTTGACCAATGTTTCCAGTGATAAGAGCCATCAAGGAAACGAGCCATAGATGGTTTGCAGTTTCAATAGTTTCAATAATCATCAAACATGTCAACATATATATGTCAACATGTGCCAAGATTCGACGTATTTCAAAGTTGCATACGGTTATTTCATTGGAAGATTATTACATCCTAGGAATTTCCTCTATAAAAAATGGGGGGAGGACATCCATCGGATAAGGGGATATTATATGATATTATTAGTAGAATTTGTATAATTTATGACATATTCCCAAGATATTACATATTACAGTATTTTTTTCATAAAATTACAGTAGTTGGATCATGTTGGATCTCGAAAGCACCGTGGATGTCGGGGATCTCAGGCTATGAGCATCCTGAAAACCGGCTTCGTCTTGGACCACGCCGGCAGCATCTGGCCTGCATCTGGCAGCGCTGAGCGTATCGTGGTAAACGTGGTATGCTGGGACATCCTACCCTCTGGTGAACTAACATATCTATGGAAAATCACCATTTTTAATGGGAAAATCCACTATAAATGGCCATTTTCAATAGCTATGTTAAATTACCAGAGGTTAACAGCTGGGAAAGTCATCAAACTATTCTTTTTAATGGGTGTTAGCAATGTTTTTCCATTGCTATGGCTGCTATGTTTGATGACACCGGAGGGCATCTTAAAACTCACACAAAGAAGAAGCTGGAGGAGCACACCACCCAATATATGGGTAGGTTCACCTGCGACCAAACGGGTATGAAAGCCTGCGAACTAGTTGGGTCTTACAGGCAAAAGTCTGGAGTTTGGGATCGCCAAACATGAGGATGACCAAAAATTGGGAGGTTGACCAATCAATAGACTCAATAAATATCATACTTGTGATATGAGGATGTCGCCAGGAAATCCAGGAAGACTGGAACATTGCCGATGTGGCGATTTTTTCACGACAAGCATGCGGATTTACATGCACTTATAGAACCATCGGATTTAGCATTGAACAGAACCCAAAACTGGGTGTTGACAATTGATACCCTCCGGTAAACCTACAAAAAGCTATTGAACATGGCCCGAAATATCCCGAAATAGTGGATTTACCCATTAAAAATGGTAGATCTTTCCATAGCAAAATGTGACAGTTTACCAGGCCGGGTACATTGGAACTGCCTCCATTTCCTCGGTCGTTATGTTTTCCGCCTGGGCGGAAGCGGCCCAGGTGCCACAGGGACCATGTTTGGCGCCGGGGTTCTGCCCTCGGCCGATGTGGGTAGGGGTTTTTGGGGTGAGAAAAGCCAGCCACCACAAGCAGAATCCTGTGATTTTGGGGATGCAATCCGGTTAGATCAGCCACCCAAAGTGAGACTTATGTGCAAAAATCTGTAGGAAACCATGGTTTTACTATGTTTTACTGATCATTTCATGGGATTTCGTGTGTTTTTTTCCAGGAATATGTTCTATGCATTTGGTTGCTTGGTTACTGAAACAGAATCTGAGAGATTCACATGGAGAAGGCTTGGCCCAATCTCGCCCCGCGCCCTGCCGAGATTTACATGGCGGAGTGCTCCTCGAAATCCGACGAGTACGGTCGTGACGATGGTGGCAACACCTATCCCTCGCTGCATGCCATGCTTGTGTGCACACAGCTCAGTTGCTGGATGACAGGATGGATAGTTTAGGAGAAAAACTGACGGTGAGTTCTGGAGATCCATATTCCATGATTTTCACTATCGGGGGTAGGTGGGATCTAATGGGTTCCCCATCCATAATATGATCTAAAATTATCTAAGGCACGTTTGGTTAAGGATGTTACGGATGGCTAAGGTAATCAGTTACTTGTTCAGGTTTCAGACCACCTACATTCAGATGTTGACGTCGGCATGGACAACGATTGCGGTGCCAATGCCACACAAGATGAGGCATGCCTATTGGAACAACCCTATAGTACGTATTTCTGTTGGGAATTATGTTTGATTTATGTCCTTGCCTGGCTGTTACGCGGCTGTTTGCAAACTGGCTTTCAAGCCCTAGCTGAGATTTCAATAGATTTCATGGGCCTTGATGGATATGAATGCCACTCCAAACATCTCCAAACCTCCAGTGACTGTTGAAATCCTTCGCAGCGGCACGGGCAAGGCAAGTGCTTCGTTGGTACGCCCTTTGTGACCGACACCTCCGGAGATCACGCATCTTGGGTGAATCAGAAGGTTAAAAAGGCGTGTACGGTTGCCTTTCATGGGCTAAATACATCTAAATACGGCTATCAACATCAATGGTTAATAATGGTTAATCATGGTTAATAATGGGAGAATATATCTGGTTGGTGGTTTGGAACATGGCTTTTATATGATTTTATGACTTTCCATTCAGTTGGGAAGAATAATCCCAACTGACGAACTCATATTTTTCAGAGGGGTTCAAACCACAACCAGATTATGATTGCCATCGTGGCATATTATAGCCCACTGCAAGATGATAGTTACTTGGTATCCAAGCTAGGCTGTGCATAGAAGATAGCCGTGCTATGGTCGGTCCCAGTATGTTTGATTTTCCCTCCCTGGTTGGGGCAGATTGAAGATCAGTTGGGAAGATATTCCTATAGTTAGCAAGTGGTTTCGAAACCACTGAGCAGTCATAGCATTGGTCCGATCATGTCCGATTGGTCAACCTACTAGGGGTCAAATGATGTAAAAGTTGAAGTTGCGAGTTGCGAGATATATGCATTTAGACACCGGAAACTGTACAACATTATAAAAACATGTAAAGTGCTAAAGGGAACTAAACGGTACTGCACACATGTATAAGCATGTGGAGTAGGCTTGACATGACGCCAAATATATGGCTCAAGTCGCAAGGGAAAACGGTGTTTGCGCCGCTCAGCAATGCTGCCTGGACTCCGGCTACTAGGACGTCAGGGACTCCAACAACTACAACCAGATATCCGGGAACAAGGATTAAAATTGTTCACAGGTTATCAGCCGTAAGGGCTCACTTCTTCCGTCGGAAGAGGAGTACCTGCGTGCTGGTAGCCGGGCCGTCAGAGCTTAAGATTGTGGACGCAAAGGACCAATCAGCTCATCATCGCAAAGATGCAGGGCGGCAGCGGGGACTCGCGCAACACGCAGTTTACCTTCAACGAGAACGCTGCTATGCCGGTCGAGGAGGTCACTCAATCTTCCCCTGGCGACACAGCAGACAGTGGTGGGATACGCTCTACCCGAACTACACAGTCCGGATGGCAAGTTACATCAAACAGACGAAGAATGTCCACCCAAAGTACACCAAGATCTTCTCGAAACAGTGCTCGAAGTGATGTTGTCCGCCAAGGGCATCGACCATCTCGAGGACGAACTACCCCAAGGGACAGATCCACCAGGGCCGGAACCGACCGAATTGGTGAGAGGACCGGGGACACTCGCGTTAAGAGGAGATCAACGGATACTTCTGTGGCTAGTGAACCTATTGCCATCATAGAAGAACTACGGGCACAATGTCAATCCTTACGTAATCAGTTGAACAATATGGAAGCATATGCTGCATCAAGAGATCAACTGATTCATGACATCGAGATCAGATTCACTGAATATCTTCAGGAACAAAACCAGAATGTGTTTGATGAGGTCAATGCACTCAATCATAGATTGTCATGTTCCGCAAATGCGGTTGCAGAGTATCAAGCAGAACTAATGGTAGCATCTCAGGAAGACGAAGGTGCAACAATACGCATCCAAGACCTTGAACGCCGAGGTGCCCTGATGGAACACGGTGCAAGACGGATCCATCAACGCGGTATGGAGATCCAGGAAGAGTACAAGGACGAAGTACATCACCTTCAAGGACTATTGGGTAATACGGAGGCAAGACTGCAACAACTTCATGAGACCAATGTCTTAACTACCGATATTGCCAACCGATTGTACACTGAAGGTCAAGAAATGCAGACGGATTTCCAGAACTCAATCATGGAATATCGTAATCGATCCGAAATGGCATCCTTCTCAAGCAATCAACTTGAAATGATTAGCCAACAACAATCAATTGCAGTTCATGAATTGTCTGAACGGAATCAGCTATTGAGTGAAGCTCTAGTTCAGTCTCGTAAACAGGCCGAGTTGTATGAGAACAGTATTGAAGAGATCACTAGAGAGTCTAGAAAGAAGGTTTTCGAGGCAAATCAGGCCAAATTGGAAAGCGATCTGAAACACCGAAACACTGAACATGATACTGTCAGAAGAATTGCATCATACCGGAACAACGAGGCCGAAGCGATATCGCACCTGAGGCTTGGATCACAGGCTAGTGCAAATGCGATCGCGAGGGCAGAGCACTATGAAGAGCTCTACGCCAACGAGCAGGAGATGAACTGTGAATTGAAGGATGAGATCAGATTGCAGAACGTGAAGTTGCGAAGATCATCAACTCAGGGCACTACGATCGACGGTCGTGGCCCTGATGAGATGCTTGTTGAAGATCTACGGAACCAAGCCAAAATCGCTCAAATCAGGGTTCAGGATCTAGACCATGAAGTTCATGAATGTTTACAGGAGAACATGTTGTTGAAAGAAAGATTGACTGAAGTTGCGGAAGTTGTGTACCTCTGTACATCAAGCAGTACGAGTCATGGATCGAAGGGGATCAAAGACGAAGCTATCGTTACCTGCTGGACGTCATCGAGAGGCACATATCCAGGATCAGAGAAGACAAGCATGTGGCCGCCAGAGAGAAGTACGCAAGAGACTTTGCAGGTGGTGGCAAGCCCACCACTCCTGCACCAAATCCAACTGCTGCTGCACCAGATGCCAATCCTAAGGCGAAAGCTAAAGCCAATCCTAAGGAGAAGGCAGCACCCAAGGCGAAGGCCAAGGCTGAGGCAGCTCCAGTTCTACCATCACCTCAACCAAAACAGCATGCAAAAGGAAAAGGAAAAGGTCAAGGGAAAGGAAACGGACGGTCAAACAGCCGAAGTGCTAGTCCTAGATCCAAGAAGAAGATCCCATGTCATTTCCATTTCATCAAGAAAGCATGCAGAAAAGGTAAAGATTGTGAATACAGTCACGACCAAAAGGTGTTTGATGCGAACAAGAACACGAAAGGTAATGGTCGAAAGCCAGGAACTCCGAGAAGTCAATCTCCAGCAAACAAGACCAAGAAGATTGACGAACCATGCTGGCACTGGGCCAAGGGCAAGTGCCGATACGGAGACAAATGCAACAAACGTCATGATCCTCATCTCTTCAACACTGCTCCGAACACCGAAGCATCAAGCTCAAAGGCTGATCCTGCACTTGTCCATGAATGGAGTGATGACGAGGGTACATTTCACAAGGTTGCATCGAACGTCGTCAAGAAGAAGGTACGATTTGACGAGTCTAAGACTTGCATTCAGACGTACGTGAAGAAGGACTTCGTGAAGTGCAGCCGGAAATCCCAGACCATCCCCAAAGGTCATGGTAAAGTCGGCAAGCCCACCGATCAGATAAGGCAAGATGAGCAATGGTCTTATTCATGCAGACTAGCATCGAGCCGAGGGAAGGCAATGGCTATCCTGATCGATGAGAAGGGCGAGTACAGTGACATTGATGAAGTCCTAGTCATCGTCGGCCCCAGTCTGGACATTCTGATCAGGTTCGACATCGAGGACGGTGAGGTATCCAGGGAGGTCTTCGTGGAGAACTATGTTCAACATGTCGAGGGTCGATATGGCAAAAGGGGTAACACGATGTGTATCACTGTTCCTGTTGAAGAAAGAGATAAGAGATTCATATTGGATTCTGGAAGTGGTCATGATCTTATCTCATCCACACGAATAAGTAGAATGGATCTCCCAACATATGATGATAAAGTCGTCAACTTCCATACAGCAAACGGGGTAACATGTTCGACCAAACGATCAAGTATCAAGTTCGAGGCATTCAACGAACCAGCGGAAGCTCACATCCTGGAAGACACGCCTTCCGTAATCTCCATGGGCAAGCGGTGCGTTGACCTTGGCTATTCGTTCGTATGGCCGACTGGGAAAACTCCTTTCATGTTAGATCCCAACGGCAACATCATCGAAATGACTGTCAAAGACTACATTCCTTATGTGAGTGTCGATCAAGAGAAGAGAAAGCTAAAATCATCCTGCGTGGAAAAGATCATGGCAGTTCTTGATGATGAGTGCTCAACGTCAAAAGGCGAAAGTCTTTTGGTTATTGATGGAGAGAGTGGGGATGAGCTTGAGGATCTTTCCGACGCCGTTGGACGATCCGATGGCGAATCTCCCAAGAAATCAATAAAGAAACGTAAGAAAGCAAAGTTGAGAGGTGATCAACATGAAGTAGCTGTTGGAAGTGATGCAGGTGATGCTGAGGAAATGTCGTGCCATGCCGATGACTATGCCGAGTTTGACGATGACGGGTACGAGCCCAGCATTGGACCGGATGATGTCGATGAAGATCATCAAGTTGAGGTTGAAGAGATTCCTGAAGATGGAGGAGGTGAAGATGACGACGATGTCATTGATGTTGATGAGGAAGATGGAGGAGTTCGATTGAGTAAGAGGGGAACTTTGAAGAATGAGGCAAGATCAAAGGTTCATCTTCTAACTCATCGCTATAAGAACCCATACTGTGAGTCGTGCGTGCGTGCCAAGATGAAGCACAGGAAGACGTTCAGAGGAGCGTTTCAGCGTAAGCTCACGAAGTTTGGGGACCTGGTCACATTCGACTACGTTGACAATCGTCGTATTGCTGAACAGGACTATGGCGACGACAAAACCATCTTTGTCATCAGGGATAGATTTACGGGGATGCTTCAATCTTACCCTTCTGCTAGGAAGGATACTGACGCAGTCATCCGGGCGGTCAAACAATTCATGGGCCGTCGTAAGATCAGAGAAGCATACTCCGATGATGCCCCGCAGTTCGACAAGGCCATGAAGATCCTGAAGATCCCAATGGACACATCATTGGCCGGAAAGACCAAGCACAACTCACTTGCAGAAAGAACTAACCAGTTTGTGCTCGTGGCAACCACAACATGCCTACTTGAAGCAGGAATTCCACCGTGCTTCTGGATGTATGCTATCAGATGCGTAAGCCACCTGCTCAACATCGAGCCCAACGATGATGAGGTAAGTTCTTGGTGCAAACTTCATGGAGAAGAATTCAAAGGGAAGATGATACCTTTTGGTGCCCTCGTGTACT